AATACTTTCTATAGAAATTTTCGATAAACGCGGCCCAAGTCTGGGCGGTACCCTCGGGAAATACTCTGGTCTTGGTGGCCTTCCACCAGTCGTTCGCATTGTCTTGTAGTTGATATACCGCTAGTGTCACCTTTTCAGTATCGGTGCACCCTAGAACATCGACGGCTTTCTCCAACTCCTCTACCCAACGCGGTGCAGCCTCAGGGTCACCCTTCCCATTGAACTTCGGCGGTTTCAATTTCAAAAACTGCTCCACCAACTTAGACATCGGCCTGATCACATTTGCCGGTCCTGGAATTGGATTCTCCTGATTCCCATTGTTTCCGTTGTTCCCATTGGCCCCATTGGCAGTAGCAACGGTGGCCTCAACAGCAGCGGCAATAGTGGCATTTCTCTCCTGGGCTAGCCTACCTCCCAGAATTCCAGCTTCCTCGAGTGCCCTCAAAATTCTGTCTACTCTTGGGTCCTCTGCAACCCTCACTTGTGGTTCTACGCGATCTTGCTCACGACCTCGACCTCTACCTCTTCCTTGGTTACTCATCTTTCCAAACTCGCATGCTCACCTACCTGCTATAATTCCATTCAGGAATTAGAGACCTAACCAAGCTAAACCGGTCTAAGGTCCTAGGCAGGGAACTAACACTACAGCAATTAATCACTCAACATGCGGCTAAGCACAAACAGCACAAGACCTCAATCAAGGAGATGCACGTACTTACATCGGGTCCAGCCGCACCTGCACTTTGCGGGTCAATTCATATAAGCACTCAATCAAAACACAGACAGTCAGGAGGTACACTTAGCACACGAGGTCACCCTACTAGCTACCCAAGGTCATCGCTCCTTATCACTCCAGGCTTTGACCTAATTGGACCGAGCTAACCTGGCTCTGATACCAAATAAAACGGGGATGTCACGCCCCGTACCCTACGGCACGCCACACCCCTGCCGTGGTCAAATTTTGTGCGACGTCCCAGGACGCGTCGCCGACCCAACACCCAACACAGAGAACAATGCACAAGCGGAAGCAAACATACACCCGTACGATTAGAACACCACGAGACCAAGGATAGCAATACAATAAACAACATGAATAGATATACATTTGCATTAGCGACGGAAACATACAATATTCATATACAGCATGAACATCAAAAATCAAAAGCGGGTCAATGGCCACTACTGACAAAAAGGGGTAAGTGGCCCGGGCGGTCAGAGGTACTAAAACTAGAAGGGGCTCCGGTCAAAAAGGTACAGGCCCGATCTATCTAAAACTAGGGCTAAACCTACGGGACCCAGTTCGGGTCGGATCCCGAGGACTCAGAAGAGCTGTCTGACGGCTCGTCCTTGGAGTCCATGGAATCCATCTCGGACTCGGCCTCGGCCGGCTCCTCCTCTGAATCCACCTCCTCAGGCTCGGGATCCTGCTCCATCGGCTCTGGCTCCTCGTCTGACTCCATCGGCTCCTGATCAACATCCCAGTCTGCTGGCTCCATATCCATCGGGTCAAACTCGTCCACCTCCCAGATAATAGGCCGGCGGCCAGAACTGGAACTCCCCTCGGATGTGATCTCGGGACTCGCCAGCTCCCCGTCCTAACACTGGGGATCTACCTCTCCTAGCCTGTTGAACGGGACGTTAAAAGTCCGGAGGGGTCCATGCTCTCCGAAGCGGTCCCTAAAACACTAGGTTACATACTCGTGGTGCTGATAGTACTCCTCCCCCACATCGACCAATACTACAGAATAATACTTAACATATATATCCCCATTCTCTAAGGGGTACTCGGTCGCCGTCCGCCCTAGCTGGTGCGGAATCCCAAAACGTACAGGAACATCTGGCATACTCAGGGCCGGGGGTCTGAAAAGTTGGGTTTGTACAACAGTGAGAATAAATCTCAGCGAGTAGGCCCCCTAAACCTAAGCTAGGCTAACATGCACCTCCTGACGAGCACTAAATAACACACAATCCAAAATATAAATGACTTAGGCCCTCGGGCCCAATTCCAATATTTAAGTGACCCTGCAGGTTAGGCACTATATATATTTATAATAACGGCACAGAACTCAACCACGGCACATATACGCATGTCACTTAGCCACGACGCATGTCATGCATATGCTCGTGCTCACACTCATGCTCATGCCTCATCAATGCACCTTTGCACGCTTGCACTCTTGCACACTTGCAATTTACCAAATTCACCGACCCGCGTAAAACGCATCAGGCTCATGACACAACCCGCGTAAAACGCATCAGGTTGTCATCTTCCGGTAGTCCGGGCATCGTCCCGCGTAAAACGCATCAGGACGGGTTCAATACCCCGCGTAAGATGAATCAGGGCTTTATGTGATCACACGTACACAATCACCAATTATTATCTGAACCCCGCGTAAAATGCATCAGGGCGATTTAAGTGATCACATGCTCATGCCGTTCGTGTACACACACATAATGCACATGTTATGCCAATACTCAGAATGCACGCTCATGGTCACAATATCCACACTCGGCATTCGTGAAATTCACACTGGGCACCCAATACGATTTGGCTACTTATTCCAAATAACGCCACAACATGCTCAATTCACATTTCAATTTGCCCAGTAGACTAATTAGTCCAAATAAATTACAACGTATAATTTGGCACCCAATTTCACGCAATTAAAACACCAAAACTACTCATACCGATAGTCTACCAAGCGTCTCATGAATTGGCCACGCCAAGCACATCATAGGGCATTGCACAATCACAATTAAGCCATACTTAATTCAGCCTCCTCATGGGCCGATCACAATTTCCTTGGCGATTCGCACTAAAACCCCGATTAACCGATTATGGCCCGAATCAATCCAATACCAAATCAGCCATGAACAGTCTACCCTAGGCCATTAATTCACTTCCAAATCACCACATTAGACCACAAAAATCACCATGGAAACAGCCACTACTCGGTTCACAAATTACACCCGCCAAATCCACATTTTTGCCCGAACCAAGGCTCCCATGATCAGCCACCACACAGCACATTATGAACCACTAAACCTCAATTAAATTATCACACTAAGCCACTAAATTAACCACAAAGTCAGCCCCTAACATCCTCCACAAGTTAACCCCTAAATTACCCTAATTAACCCCTAAAACTCATCTAGAAATGTACATTAGCCTAATTAGGGTTTAGGGTTGTACTCACTTGGATTCCTAAGCTCCCAACTGAGCTGAACATGTGGGGAAAATGGGCGGTCCAAGGTGGTCTCGCGGCGGTCCTCGGCGACGCTTACGGCGGCGGCGCGCGGCTTTTCTAGCAGATGGCGATCCAAGGCGGCGAAGGGGAGGGGAATGCTGGTCGGTGGCGGACGGGAGAGAGAGAGAGAGAGGGATGGTCGAGATGGTGGTGGTGCTAGGCGGGGCGAGCGGCGGACGGTGGCGGCGCGCGGCGGTGGTGCTCCGGCGAAGGGCCTCTCACGGCCGAGCAAATGAAAACGAGAGCGAGAGAGTGATGCGTGGGAGGAGGGGGCTGCCGGCTGAGGTGAGGGTGAAATGGGGGAGAGAGAGAGACAATGGGAGTGTATAGGCTTGAGGAAGATAGTGGGGTTGGTGAACCACCTTGCAATATTGACCATCTTGCCCCCCCCACTTCTAGGGTTAGGATTAAATCTAACCAAAATATCTAGGGGCACAATTGACCACTAATTTCCAGCATTCTTGGGGGGTAATAAATCCAATTAAAAACTCCAAATTCGGAACTAAGCCTAGGGCATAGGGGCAAAATGGTAATTTTTCCGATCCCGGGTCAAATTTTCAATTTTCGGCTCTACCGATCCCAAATATAATTGGCCACACTTATACGACGTTGTCCTTGCAAAATAGTCGCGTACGCCCACGAAATTCGACACCGAAGTCCGGACTCAATTCCACGATCGATTTGGCTCAATTTGCAGTTTTAGCGTCTCTCACTAACGGGTGGCTGTTTAGGGGTTACGCGTTTCGACCTAGGGTTACTCGAGTCGTGACGGTCTCGATTTTCCAGAGAGTACGAGATTTTATCACTAGTTCCGGGGGTCGCGATCGTTCGGAATAAGTTCGGGACCGTTCGCCACGTGTACTCTCGGTCGTGCGGAATCACCCGCGATCTGATCGTACATCGTTGGCCAAATCAAATCCGTCACACTCCTTGGATCGGCCCACATTGGCACAAAATATTCCCTCATCGCTTCTCGGAATCGGACTCAATTCACGATCGAGTTCTTGGGTCCACGTACCGTTTTTCCTAGTTAGCCTTTCCCTATTGGTCAGTATCCCGAGAATGATCAGTTCCGGGCGAGACTTACTAAGACGAAATGAGAAATACATCAATTTCATTGATTACGAAAGTGGGTCGAATTCAGGACGTTACACACTCAGCAGTCAGAATGAAGAGAAATCCAATATGACCTACAGCAGTAAGCCAATCATTTTTTTTGCCTGCCACCTGAGGCAAATCCTACTCCACTTTAAACATGGTTCATTGCGGACAACAAAAGCTACCCAAAACTCAACAACCCCTTGGAACCATCTAAGGAAGACCAAAACGATTCATAAAAATTGACTGTGATCGCTAAACTTTCTAGATAGCAGAATTGAGCAAAGAGTCAAGACACAGTTATGACAGAAATGCAAAGGCTCTAGAAAAAAGAGGAAAGCCATTACCCCACCATGAACCCGAGAAAAAAAAAAGAGAGTTTGAAACAATTTCAAAGGGAAAGATGAATCAATGTCCTATTCATCTATTTTTTTGGGTAAGCAAGTTACTGTATTCAAACTAGCACTTAACTTTCATTGTCAACACCAAGGCATAAATTGATTATGTAGCTTTCACAACCCATTTACAGAGCACTTGCAATCTAGCACCTCTACGTGATTGAGATTCTGTGCTGGAAAGAACCAAGCAGCAGATACCATGACGATAGAAGTTACTATATATTGGAAGAAAAGACCGTGCTGAAGTGAAAATTACCTTAGGAGCAGCCATAGGATATTCTTCAGGCCAAAACAACTCTAGTTTGAAAACTCCTCCTGCAAAAACATTGCAAAAAGACAAGCAAACAAGTTCACTAAGAAATTAGTTATGACAGAACAAATTTTTTTAAGCTGTAGTCAGGAGATTTGAATGGAGGTATAATAAGAAATATCATGGAAAGCTAGATTATCAAGGACAAGCAGGCACAGCAGATATGGGTTAAACAAAAATGGGCAGATGCGACATGAACAAACTGATGCTTTTTTCCTGCTCAAGTGAGAAAGACAACCTCCCTCGGACAAAATGATGAACACAGACTCCACCAATGAGAAGTTATTTCCAATATAACGCAGGTCAGGAATCGATCTTTTGCATCATGCAGATGCGCGGATGTGCATAAAACTACGCATCTGCTGTCCCTCAGATTTTAGTGAGCAACTCAATCCGTCAATAACAACCACCACCAGCTCTCCCTACTCCTTAAACACCTGAAAAAAAAAAAAAAAGAGGAAGTGCGCAGCTAAATAACCCTATGCAGAAAGGTAAGTGCAACTGATTAAATTCGGTAACATCTTCCATGAATATCTGTACTCATCACTGGAAGGTGTGCATAGTTACATCAGGGTAACTCAATACCTTCATAAGGAGATTGCGTAGGGCCAAGGATCATCACGTTAAAATACCGCATATTGTCCTCCGAAGGTGAAGCACTAATGCCAGGAGCTGAACCGCAGATCTCAGAAATTAGTTGCTTAAACAACGTATCTAACAATTCAACCGAATTACAGAACTCCTAATGTCTCTAAACAGACAGATAAAGGAGGAGAAGGAGGAATAAATGCCAAAGTTATAACCATCCCCACTGATAACACACCACCAAACACCCCACAGGTTCAAACAAGCAACAAAACCAAAAAAAAAAGAAGCCATGTCCGCAAGCTACAAGTTTCCTTCCGAATCAATGCTAAGAGAAACCTCTACAGTAGCGCAATCGAACGGAATTTGGAAAAAAACACAGAAACAAACTCGGAGGCTGACACAAACCTTGCCCGGAGAGGAACCACGTCCGGCGAAAAGCGGCGCCAATCTTGCGGAGAGACGAGAGGAGGAAGAGCCGAGGTGGCGAGCTCAAGAGAGTGCGCGTGCGGCGGCGCGTGAGCCTGAACGAAGATGAAGACAAAGGATGTCGCTTGAAGCCTTGAAGTGAAGCCCACCTCCGCCTCGGACGAGCCGGACCGCGGTTGATGAAGAAGAGGAAGAGTCGAGGCGGACGCCGAACGGAGCGAGGAGAGGCGAGAGGGTCTCGTCGAGTCGTGGATGTGGGGAGTGGGAGAGAGCGCAATGGAGGAGCTACCGAGCGAGGGAAAATTTGGGAAGAAACTAAGAAAGTTAGGGTTTTTAGTAGAAGAGAGAGCGCCGGTTCCAGTTCCTAAAAAATTGGAATCGGGAACCGGAACCTCCCACCACCCTAGAATCGGGAACCGAACTGGACTCGCCGGTTCGGTTCTTCGGTTCTCGATTCTACCCTGAAACCGTGCTCACCCCTAGTATCAATAGCAACACTTGGTCATCGATAGCCCGAAATCAATTGACATTTTCCTCTTGCCGATAGCATTGTCCATAATCAAGCAAACTCTACTCCAGTCGACTAAATTTGTCTATTATAGTCAAAAGTTAGTCATTTTTGGGTGTAAACAGAAAATTACCAACATTGTTCGAATGTTTAGAAATACCAAATATTCCGAGCACTTAGCATCATATATTTCATAGTTTAACTAGTGAGTTAAAGTTATTAATTTGATTCGAAATTACTAATCTTAATTTGAGTCACCTGCCATATCAACGTTCATTTAATTTTTCCAATTTACCAACTACTTTAATAGTTCACCAAATTTAATTGAGTCTATTACCAACGTGTTAAACTTATCAAATAAGAGTTGGTATAAGAGTTAGTGGCAGCTTCATATGTTGGTAGATTATAAGAACAGTTGGCAATTACCCAAAAATCAAATATAAAGCTGGTATCTGACTAAAATAAAGTATGTGTCTATATCAATTACATATAAATGTCGATAAATTTTGAAGAGAGTTGATAATCTATAATAAGAGTCGGCATCTTTAACCGATTGGTAAGTCCCAAATATATATTGGTAAATTATTGGAACAATTTTATTTGCACCAAAAAATAACCCAACTCTTTTAAATCGACGAACAGTGAGTTTTAGTCAGTAAAGTGAGTTTGGTTGATTGTGATCGGCCTGATTTGTTAACTGTATGATATAGTTATTGACTAGTCTATCGATGGCCATAATGTACAGCTTTCGATGATTATCGATGAGCGATGAAATGCAGTTGATCAAGGAACACTGGTCGACGATAGTGCTTCGAGCTATCAAACAATCGACAATTGTACAACATGAAAATCAACATATGCAATGAAGAATTGTTGACAGTTATGTGGAGTAGCTAAGGAGTGTTCAACAAAGTTCATCGATGGAACAAGCAAAGACTTGGCTATTTTAAATTTGGCTAGGTGTTGGAAGCAAGAGGAGAAAATGAGGACAAGGATATCGATTGAAGGCAAAGATATCGAGGGACGGTTGAGTAATCCGACAAAGAAGTTGCATTCGTTTATCGATTGAAGGCCTTATATTTTGGATATTACCCTTGAATGTGAGTTTCCATGATGAGGATTTTTTCTTGACTACAGGCTCCCTTCCCCCACTTTTTCGTGTACTGATAAATGAGGACAGATGAAAGATCCTTTCATCCGATACCTAGCTCGGATAACCATCATTATTGTAATTCCAAATTGAAAATCCAAATTCTTGGGGCTCTAATGGAACAAGCTTGGACAGAGAGGATCCTTACTTGATTTTTATTAATAAAGGGAATCCGGAAACAACCTATGGAAAGTTTAGATGAGGCGGATCTTACTTTGATCTGCAAGTTGGCTAGTTGATGTCACCTGATATATAAGTGTTTATGATAACTCTTATGGTATCACTTGATATTTTCCCATCAAATATGTTTGGGCTAATCCATAAAAAAAGAACCAACTTTACCTTGACTGAAAATTCTAGGCTAAACTTTTTTTTTTGACTCAATAAAAATTAGGGTTAATACCACGAAAAACTCTAAACTGGTACACTTGTGACACATTTACCCCAAACTATTTTTTTGACCATAAAAAACCCCAAACTGGTACACCTGTGACAATTTTACCCCGAACATACCACAAAAAACCCCAAACTGGTACACATGTGACAATTTTACCCCGAACTAATTTTTAATATTATTTTTTTTATTTTTTTATTTTTTTATTTTTTCTTTTCTTTTCTTTTCTTTTTTTTTCCTTCACCTTCAACCTCTGGCCGGTCGCCGATCCGGCGACCGGCCAGAGGCGGAAGCCGGCAAGAGCCGCCCTCGCCAGATCCGGCGAGGCCAGCCCTCGCCCGATACCGGCGAGGGTGACCCTCGCCGGATCTGGCGAGGGCCGCCCTCGCCTGAGTCGGGTGAGGGTCGCCCTTGCCCTGGGCTGGCGAGGATGGTCCTCGCCCGACGCCGGCGGGGGCCCTCGCCCGACGTAGGCGAGGGTCGCCCTGCCGGCGTGGCGGGTCGCCTCGCCGGCGCTCGTGCCGGACCGGCAACCGGCCGAGAGGTTGAAGATGAAAAAAAAAGAAAAGAAAAGAATAAAAAATAAATAAAAATTCGAAAAAATAAAAAATAATATTAAAATTTTAATTCAGGGTAAAATTGTCACATATATACCAGTTTGAGATTTTTTGTGCTAAGTTCAGGGTAAAATTGTCACAGGTGTACCAGTTTGGGATTTTTGGTGGTCAAAAAAATAGTTCAGGGTAAAATTATCACAGATGTACCAGTTTGGAGTTTTTTATGGTAAAAAAAAAAGTTTGGGGTAAATGTGTCACGAGTGTACCAGTTTAGGGTTTTTCGTGGTATTAACCCTAAAAATTACTAACTTTTTACTCGAGTTCCAAATCTGGCATCCATTAACTAAAACTTGAGATCTTGTAGATTGTAGGGCACAACTTTAGAATCTCCTTCACTATGCTGCCCAACAAAATCCAATTATTAATGTCCATAACTAGAGCCTTATATATTAAATAAGATCAATTGATTAATGTCTATTTGATGTAGACTTTGAAGTTTCGGGGGGAGGGCTTGGACTTTGAAAAAAGGTTCTAATTGTAAGCTTGGCGGATCTTTTCCATGGCGTATCTCGACGGGCGGTGGTCCACAACTTCAGATTACGACGAAACGGTAGAGGCTAGCCGGAGAGATTCAATCTGAAAATCCTTTTGACTTGTCGGTGAAGTGAAGGAGACCCGAACAACATCACCGTTATTCTTCAAGTTGTGGTTCATAAAAAAAACAATTAATAGTTCTTTAAATCCAGCTAGCAAGCGACGTGGATTTATTGCCGAGGTAGAACAGTCATGTAAGACAATTAACGATTTCAAGTCAACGGGGCCAGATTTGGGATTTAAGTGAAAGTTGATGAGTTTTTATGAGATAAAGAAAAGTTTGGGCTAAAATTGTCACTCAAGTTAAAATTGATTTTTTTTTTTGAAATTAGGCCAAATATGTTCCTAGTTTGTATGTCAGATGTCAGTTGTTGAATGTCTTACAATTTCTTAGTAGAGAATTTTCTGTCCATTTTAAGACACAGCTTACTCCAAGAGATTGCTCCGGTAGCATATTTATCTTGAAACCTGTATGCAGGATCTGAAGGCATCCAATCAAGTGCTTGACTTGTTCGAAGAAGTAGTTTTAGAAAGTACTAGGAAAAATTATCAAAAAAGTCTTAAACATATTACGCTTTTGCCAACTCAGTCATAAACCTTTTAATTGTGCCAATTAAGTTCTAAACTTTTTCACGTTTTGCCATTTGAGTCGATCCGATCAATTTTAGTCAGAAATCACTGACGTGGATGCCAGCCATGCTGGCACTAATGTAGATAATATTTAATAATATTTTAATATTTTTCATTATTTTATTTTCTTCTCTCTTCCTTCTTTTCTTTTTCTTTTTATTATGGCCAGCAGGGTTGTCGAGCCCTCGCTGGCCTCCGGCGATGGCCGCGAAGGTCTCCCCATGACATCACCTTCATGTTGTCGAACAATCCATCTCTGTCAAAATCAATGACCAGCGAGCATGGTTTATGTTTTGCAGGAGCTTGTTTCTAAATGAGCATGGTTCATTTGAAGGTTCTCACTCGGTCTACATGAGCGTGTGAAAACGCATTTGCTTGCTATTCGATCATGAAGTCGCAAACTTCCGTCCGTGCAAAGTAAAGGCGGTGTTCATAGAAGCAAAGAAGACTACTGCTAAGAAAACATTGGCTTGCTTCTCTTTGAGGACTAGAGTTGTGCGCTCATTTCTTGAAAATGTTATTTACATCCCCAAATATTATTAAAAATTATCCATGTCAGTGTCGGCTGTACCACGTAGGACGGCCGAAGTCCACGTCAATGATTTTCAGCCAAAATTGGCCGATAGACTCAATTGGCAAAACGTAAAAAGGTTTAGGATTTAATTGATACGATTAAAATGTTTAGAACTAAATTGGCAAAAATGGAATATGTTTAGGACTTTTTGGTAATTTTTCCGAAAGTACTACATCTGGCCTTTACAAGCTAGGAACAGATGAATGGGCTTTATTAGAGTAGTCACTGTTAGAATATTCAAATATCAAAATCACGCCTTCATCTAACATTTAAGCTTTTAGAATAGTTGTCAACGGTCCCATAAAATCTCACCTGGTATCAGAGCAGAAGGTTCCGAGTTCGAATCTCTTTAGGCCCATATTTGTCTCATCAATAAAATATTTTCACGCTTAGTACTAGGCAAAAATACATAATTAAGCATGAGGAGGAGTATAAGAATATTTAAATATTAAAATCACACCTTCATTTAATAGCTTACCAATTTAAACTTTTATAACAGTTAGCAGTGTTATTAGGCTATTGCAAATGACACATACTACAAGAAGATGCTTCTCGCTTCGGTTGGACACGAGGATGCTTGAGTGAGACTTGTGTGTCATGGCCCGATCCCCATGGGTATGCGTCATCCCACCACAGTTGTTGAGAATGCGACATCCCAGGACTTGTTGCCGACCCAAACAAATGAACTAAAGAGCAATACACGCGGAAGCAAATCGAACTCTCCATACAACATCAATTAAACGGGATAACAAAGAGACAATGGAATCACATCCATAAAACACTTTTATAGGCAAAGCGTTGCTTACAAATTCACATCATACAAGCCTTACTAGAGGCCGCTATCTAGGCACCACACACAACAAAAAAGATCGGTGGTTGGTTAGCCTAGCTTCTCTACCAAAAGGGTACTCCAAAAGACGGGATTGCTAAACCTACTAATCATCCCCATGGTACCCTGACAGCATTCTCGGATCTTTCATATCATCATAAGGCTCAGGGCTCTGAAATGTTTGTAATTCAACAATGAGAATAAATTTCAATAAGTCACTACCTAAGCCTTGCTTAGGCTAACGCGTACTGCAGGACAGTTCGGAGCATGCAAGGTTATCACTCAACGTGCCACAACAATCACAGGCGTCCTTACCTCGCTTTGGCACACACACAAGCCTTGCACGTTAGTATATAGCCACAACACGACAATCATTCATCGCACATAACAAATCGAATCGGGGCAAGCACATGCACAACACACTTAATAATCCAGACATGCCCAATAATAATCTCACATAGCATACCACAATGCATATCACAATCACAAGGTCCATATTATTAGTGGTCCCTCAGGCTCCTCGAACCTGCGTAAAACGAATCAGGCTATAGGGCTTCCGGCGTAACCGGGCATCGTTCTGCATCACACGCATCAAGACGGCATTCCATGAGAAGCATCAAACCGGCCTCCACCGCGATTGACATCCAGTCACCCATTGGGCATCCGATAAATCGGGTATCGTCTCGCGTAAAAAGCATCAAGACGGGTCACAACCCCGCGTAAAACGCCTCAGGGTATTATGTGAGCATACGGGCATTCAATCACTCAACCAAGTCTCATCTTAACCTCGCGTAACACGCCTCAGGGTATTATGTGATTATACGGGTATTCAATACTCAAATCAATTTCTCATCTTTCGATTAGCCAATTGCCATCCAATTCATGCTCAGCTCATAACTAGCCACGTCCTCATGTACAATAACAACATCGAAAAGTTCTTGAGAGAGAGAAACCAAGTTTGCACAAAATCGAGCTTAAAATTTGGCAATTGTGCAGTAACTGAAACCCTTTCGAAATAAATAGTAATTCAACTCCAAAAATTCTGAATTTTGGATATGTCATTGGAAACATCTTGATAAACATTTTTCATGAAGGACACAAAATCCAATTACAACTATAAATAGCTCTTTTTGTCACCCAAAGTCAGATCGAAAATATGGCTACCAGGGCAGACAGTTCGGACTTAGAAATCCCTTTCAATCAGTACCCAAATCTCCTTGGAAAACCTTGAAATTTTTTATATGTCATAGAAACAAATGTTCTTGACAACTTTCATGAAGGAAGTTTGTTGAAAAGAGGTCTGGAAAATTTTATAAAAATTCAGAAAGATATGCTGATCGGGTGAACAGTAAATCCGGCAGAGTGGTGACGGTCCGAAAATGGACTTCTGAATACCCCAAAGAGGTCTCCAAAAATTGCAAATTTAATATATGACATACTTCAAGATGTGGGGATCAACTTTTATGAAGGATACTTCCTTAAATTCGGTCCACATTGATCTCCACAAAAATAGCAAAACACAGACGCATAGCAGCAACGGATCTGAGAATCAACCAACATGAACCATTTAGTAATTCAAGCTCATCTAACCACTAAACCAATTATTCACAGCCATGAATCAACCCCTAACATGTCCATTTGTAACCCCTTAGCCTAGTCAAGGGTTAGGAAGTCACTTACCTCGAGTCTAAACAAGAATGACTCAGGGGAAAAGGGTAGCAACAAGATCGGCAAAACAGCAGCAGCGGAGCAGAAGCAGGAGCGAAAGAAGCAGCAGCAGCAGCAAAGGAGCAGGAGCAGAAACGAAAGCAGCATCGAAGAAGCGAGGGGCAGAAGCCAAGAAGGAAAAGAAGAAAAGAAGAAAAAGAAGAAGGAGAGGAGTTGATGGAGTCGGTGGAGATCAGCGGGAAGTCAGCCGGGGGGGGGAAGGGAAGAGAGAGAGAGAGAGAGAGAGAGAAAAGAGTTGAGTGACTTAAGTAGGTCAACTACCCCCACTATGACTCAATTCAAGGGTTAGGATTAACTAGACAATCTCATCAAAGATCCAATGGCTCATATTGGTCAACTCCACTAACTCCTAGGGGCAAAAGAGGAAATGAGCAAGAGGAGAGAGGGGCATTCTGGTCCAATATTTTCGGCTAGCATGGGGGCAGCAACTTTACCAAAATGCCCTTTTACTTTTCAAATGAACTCAAATAATTCCAGGGGTAAAATTGTCATTTTTCATTCCCGATCCAAATTTTACTTTTTCGACAAATCCGAGTAGCCCTAAGGTTGGCCACGCCAAATGTGACGTCGTCTAATGAATTAGTTGTGGTTTTCGAGAAATTCGATTCCCAAATCCGGATTCCAAGTGATGGTCAATAAATGCAATTTTAGTGTGTCTCAAACAAACGGACGGCTTTTAAGAGTTACGCGTATCAACTTGTGGCCGATCCAATATCGGGCCACATCTAAGTTTACTCGAGCCATGACAACCTCAGTTGTCACGTAATTGCGAGGGTCAATCATTAGTTCCAATTGACGCGATCGTTCGGATTAGATTTAGGATCGTTCAAAATTCATACAATGGTTAAGCGGATTCACCTGCGATCTAATTGTACAATATTTGCGAATCATTCCATAACCATTCTTGGATTGGTCTATAATGGCCCAAAATATCTCCTCGTCAATTTTTATGGTCGAAGTGTCGATTCACAGCCAAATTCTTAGGTCAATGTACTTAATTCCTAGTTAGCCATTCTTTAATGGTTAGTCTTCTCAAGAGTGATCAATTTCGAGTGAGACTTAACTAAAGTGCATCGAAGATACAATCATTTCATAAATCCCGAAAAATGAGTCGAATTTCAGAATGTCACATTGTGTCTTAGTGTTCCTTCCATTTGAGAACGATTTAACTGGTTGCAAGATACTTTGCTATAGTTGGAGTTGAGTTGTTACCATCTTGTTTAAGGTTTCGTGTATGCTCATGACTCATGTTTGGGGAACGTTTGCTGGTTTGATATGGTTTTAAGATACCTGTGGAAAGGTTCATCTAGCGTGGACATGATAAGCTGGTGGATTCATATGTTTACAGTGTGGAATCCAACTAATAACTGGGAACAGGGGACTGAGAAGGGACTGATCCAGTAGCCTACCTAGTCTTGGAACCTGTAATTAGTTTAGTGGCCAAATTGAAAAGTTTAAGAATAACCTGGCAAAGTGCAATAGGTTTAGCACTATTTTGGTAATTCTTGCAATAATCACTCAATCTTACAAAAAATCACACAAATCTTACCACAAAATTTATTGGCTTCAATACTTTTAAATTACTTCAAGGTGAAATTCACAAGAAGTCACCTCTAGATGCTCTTCATAGCGAAGACAGTTCTTATTTATATACAAGGGTTAAATCCAAAATAAGAAACTCGTTTTAGGAAATCTTGTCAAACTAGGAAACAACTCTACGCAGAATCCTACGGAAACTTTTTGGGCTTAAACTCGAGACATATCTCAACCGGTGTCAGAGAAATGACACAAGATGTGAGAAAAGAGGTAGCTGAATACTATCCATTGGCAACGAAAGCCACACTCAAGCACATGACAAAAGAAGAAAGTTGTAACAGCGACATAGTAAGGGTAATTGCAATGAAATGCTGCTTTATTTCTGTAGAATCCCGGCAACATGGTCCTCCAAAGAACAAAAGAAATCTGAAAATCTCTTATGACACCGATACCTGTATAGGTCTAACACACCCAGACGACTAGAAATTGATAATCTTAGATTAAAGTTTATCAGGTGGGGCAAGAGACGTCGAGATGTAAAACAGAGAGGGGGTACATGCGGGTGGTGGAGTACTTGAAAGAGAGGACTTGACCGGGGGTGAGGGCTGCCCCGTTATTCACCAAGCAGTTGTCATAGGTAAGCCGCTTGAATATTTCGGGTTTTATCAGATTGTCGGAGCTGAATTCGCCGCAGTGGAGGTGGACGTTCATGATGGTGCACGGGTACAAACATTCGTTCGAAATTTCAACCAAGAAAATCGGAATCCCCGAAGGTTCCGTTCCTGATGAGCTTTGGTTTATCGTAATGTCTTTCACCGAACACCTTTCAGATTGTTGGAGGCTGCACTTCACCAAACCTGGACGGAAATGGCAATACATGGTTGATGAGTCCTAGTCTTTGTAGAAGCAAAACAACATAAAGAAATTGCACAATGATTGACAGTATCCACACCACAAGTTATCGGCCAACTATGATATATTAACTGCTCCACACCACATCAATTCTCTGATGTGGGACTTCTCTAACACAATTCACACGTGCACCTCAACAAACTTTGATTTGATCATATTAACTCCGTCGAACAATCGAATTGCTAATGACATGAAAAAATCACCAAAAGGCACTCAAAGCACGATGCAGAAATGGAGTTATATAACTAAATGGTAACTTGAGCCAGTGGAAAATGTTGATCCCTAAAATAACGTATATGCAAAAAATAAAGTTGTTTGACAAACCTTAAAGCGCAGATGAATAATCCGAATGTTGATGAATGATCCGAGCCCAATGAATTCACGTTGTAGATTAATCGCACAAATGAAAATGATGAAGAATAAGAGAGCAACAGAAAAAATGCCACGCGAATTTTATTTAAATACAATGAAGAGTCACGAAGAATCGAAAAGTTTCGTTCAGTTCACGAACAGACATATCTGTCCGAAACTAAATGGGCGAACAGTCACGAACACACATATCTGTCCAAAAATAAATAAATAAATAAAATAAAATTCCAAAACAAAAATATGCCTGTTCGGTGAAAAACAAAACTGTCTGAACCAACATATATGCTCGGCGAAAAACAAAACTGTCTAAACCATACTCCTCATTCACCTTCTATGGGATTTGGATATCAAAATCCCAAAAGAAAATTGACCTAGCCAACTGATTATAGCGATGAGAAGGATTACTTGGCATGGCGGATCGAGTTCGAAGGTAAGGAGTCATGTCAAAACGCAATTTGATATCATGCAACTTGATATTATTAGTTAACTGAGTGATCAATCCTGTCCGTTTCACAAGTAAAAGCAATAATGGTCATTTGATCATTTGGATCAAGGCCAAACTTGCACAGGCTAGATGCATTATTGCGTCCGAGCAAATCTTTTGCCATCAATGCAACGAATTTAGTTTGGCATAAACTTATTATATTGGAATACGTGGTTTTTTTTTTTTTTTTATAATCGAGGATCCGCACGTACGGCCGACAGCCAACAGCGACTATACCTCGAGGGGAACTAGCACAGCAACCCACCGCCATGGCCCCCCACTTAAATCGCGATAGCAGTGCTGGGGAATCGATCCCAGGTCTCACGGGGTAAAGACTGGGAATGCCCTAACCAGCGCAGCTGCCCACGGGTGGGTGGAATACATGGTTTTTACAGACTGCATATATCAAAGCCGTTGATGATCACAAGATTCTTGAAAAAGTTAATTGTATAGACATCCTAGATTCGTTAAGCTTGTAAGTTGAGTGATCATCGACTTACAGAAAGATGAAAAGATTATAGTGAGACAATACCTTGGTCAGATACAAGGATTATCAGGACAACCAGGAGCAAGCAGTGAACCTCCGATAAAGTTTTCTTCATTGTGTTTGTCTCCAAACCTGAAAAATATACTAGTATTTTCTCACCAAACTGAGAATATCTCTCTCTCGATCTCGAGTATTCTATAACGAAAGAGATGACCTACTCATTTTCCCTGAGCGTTATATAACGAAAGAGATGACCAAAGGAAAGTGGATGAAGAAACTTCCGTGGGCCGTGTTACACTACTCTCTTTGCGTTTCTCAACATGGTAAGAAATCGAATCTTTAGTATTTATCAATGGAAAATGAGAGAATGGCAACAAAATAAAATTACTGAGATAATCGATTTAGAAACAATATCAACCAAAATATTCAAAAAGAGAACATCGCCCTTAATCATGCAATTGCAATTTAAGTTATGGCCCTAAATTTATTAACTTTCATTTTTCTAGTTTTTTCTATTTCTATGTAGGATCTAATTACCATAATTAAGAATTTGACATGTTTAGTTTTCCTTATTGTAGGTATCCAGGATATATTAAAGGTAATATGTTCTCTTTTTTTCATTGTTAGATATTTACTTCCATATAAATTAGTTTTGTCGAAAAAAGAAATTTCGAACAAACGTAGTTTTTTTATACATAGTCAAGCAAATTTAAGGACAAATTGTCAAGTAGAATCTACAAAAAAAGTTCATATAGACAATTTTTTATCACAATCACTGATTTACAATTTTCACTTTTGTTGTGCATATCACCATCGTTTCTTATTGGTTTTATTCTCTCTCTCTCTCTCTCTCTCTCTCTCTCTATACATACATACGTACGTACGTACGTACTTAGGTAGGTGCATAATGGGATGATCGGTGTGGAGAAAAAAAAACCCTCTTTGAAGATTTTCCAAAATAAAATCACTATTACATTCTCCAACGAAAAATTTCAAAAGATGAAATTTAATTAAATAAAAAAATTGCATAAAAAATAATTTTTTAAAAAATGATAGCGAAATCTCATTATTGAATTGACAAAGATTAATATCATTCACGAAGTGTGTGCGTCAAAATATCAAGATGCCTCATTGTGCATAATGTTTTTAGTATATCCCTAGATATTCCTTTACAGCTTATATTTGTGCTATTGCCTTGATATCTATTTTAGACCAATGAAGTTAAAAAAAAAAAAATTCACCAAGAAAGTGAGCTTATTGAACAGCGAGCCATTAGTCACATGCTCTCTCTTTTCTTCATCTTGGAACTCATACGTTTCCTACGAAACTTTTCAAATGGGAATCGCGTCAGCAAAGAAAGCCATGACAATTACTTAGGAAATTAGGAAGAACCTTAGTCAATGGGGTTTTGAATATGTTAAACCCTAGGATAAGTGGAACATATGATATTGCAAATTGTTGGGGTTTAACTATATCCGCTTAGTGAAGGTCTATGATTGAAGAATACGTAAAATTTGGTTGAGTTGTGAATTAGATTTCTTTTTCCTGCCTTATATAGAGATTGTTCGAATGGTTCCTCTCCTTGTTGAAGCTTGCCAGCTGTTGACACCAAAAAATTTAACTTTTGGGTATAATTGACAAGTGGCAAACTTAGTTGATAAAAGCAAAGTTTGGAAAAAACAAAAGTCATCAATGAACAAGGGAATCGACAATTTGAAGAAAATTGACAACTTGTCAATAAATTATCAACAACACAATGCAGAAGTTATCGATGCGATCCTTCATCAAGTCTTGAAAAGTTGATTGACAAAGTCATTGATAACGGGCAATCAATGCGAAAACTTAAGAGCTGAGTGGTTATGTCTAGTACTGCTAATTTATGATTTTTTTTTTATAAATTCTTGTAGATAAGTGTTGCCGAATAACTTTTTATAAATAAGTATTGCGCAGTGTAACTTTACGTAACCGCTAATAGGATTAGGAAGTTACTTATTTGTTTGAATACAAAATATGTTGTTTGTAACCGTCGATGATGGGTTGTAAATACCCACGTCCTATTCTTTGTAAAAAAATTCCCAATCAATAACATAATTCAACACTCTTCAAATTTATCTTTATTCATTCATTCCTGCAATTTACATGGCTAAACATATTGTCTCTAGTCTTTACCAAAAAAAAAAAATTTGTCTCTAGTCTTCATATCTTTGCATTTGTTGTCATTTACTTTTCTATCCAACTTAACAAAGAACCCTTCACAAATTTTATTGATTTCACTCTTCATTCATATTTCTAAAAGATATTTTATCATCTTTTCGTTGAAACATCTTTTTGGTATGCCCAGTAGGGCATATTTAGTTGATTCGAGAAGACTATGACGAGAAAAAAAGAAAGAAGACTACGATGACAAGAACCAGAAATCAAAGAGAGTCAAACAATGCTGTTGGTAACAACGATCTAGTTCCACAAATTGGTGATGAGGTCTTTTCTACATTTTGAATCTTCAACCGCTGGGAGAGCGGTAGAAGGAAATCAATTGAAAGAAGTTGATCTTTCGAGGCATCTCACGAATGAGCAATTGAGGAAAATTGCATTAAATTCCAACATGGTGGCAACTATGAGAAGAATATTAGAAGAGCAACAGGATTAATATGGTCAACTACATAGTGAATCAAATGTCAAAGGTGAACAAGTCTATCGTCATCAATGCTGTGAATGATGCCTTGCTGAGGCTAAGATCGTTCAACCAACCACTACAAGCAAAATCTAGTGGTAACATGGTACATTCCTAATCCCTCTCCATTAATGCTAATCATATTGGCCAGAGTAGTCAACTCCAATAAGAATTATACAAAGGTCCGAATCTTCTAATCAAGGCTAGAATAATGGAAATAATCATATTATTGCCGGTCAGAATAGTCATAATGGGACCAATAATTTGGCAAATCAACATATTCGACAGACTAAAAAAATGCCAAATATTCAAAATATAAGGCCAACTCGTGAAGTTAGCCACCAAATGTGGGAAATATCCTTTAAGGGGCTAATATGCCGATCAACTTAGAAATTCCGACAAGACCAATATCACCACCTAGAAGGCAAGATGACCAACCAAATCCACGATTAACCCCAGAGCAGTATGTTGAAGCAGTTCAACAACACTTTGATATGGACAGAGGTATTATTAGATGTTCATACAGAAACCTTATCCCAAATGAGTCAACAATTAACCTTTTTTTAGCGGAACCCCCGACTTTGCCATTTTTACTAGCAAAGATGAACAATCAATTGTCAAGCATGTTGGTTGATTCATAGCCCAATGTGGTGAAGTAGGGACAAATGAGTTTTTAATACTAAGGTTACATCCTTTATCTTTATCGAAAATTTCCTTTTCATGGTATACTAATTTACTTCTCATTCGATCCATACTTGGGCTAAGATGGTAAAACAATTCCACTCTCAATTTTATAGAATGATACCTGAGGTAACAATCACTTATTTGGCCAGACTTTATAATTACAATAATGAGTTGGTTGATAAATTTGTTGCTCAATTTAAGAAGGCAAAAAATAGATGCCTCACTTCACTATATAAAAAAATGGAGTTTACTAATGTGTCTTTCAATGGATTAAAATTCAAAATTAGAAAAAGATTTGAAGCCCAAGACTTTGCCGATATATTTTAATTGGCAACGAGTGTGTCTAAGAATAAGTAACTACTTAAAGACAGAGATAAAGTGCCACATGAAAACTTTACACAAAATGTGATTTTAATGGAAAGACATAAGTCCGATCATGAATCTAATCAAGATGAAAATTGTGATGCCACAGAAATGTCACGTGTGTCATGTGGTCCTTTGTTAAAACTATTGTTATTATTAGGCATGTGGAAGCACAAAAATCACATCGCACAAGAAATGTAAGTCTGCCAAGTTTGAATAATTTATATATACCTACTTGACTTCATCCTCCCTTTTCAAGTATTAATACAAATACAAAAAGAAATAGAATACAACATATTAACCCTGTGAAAAAGGTCCGATCTTGGTTGGTTCTACCCCCATACTCTAGCACCGAAAAACTTGTCTGTACACCAGGGGGACCATCGAAGCCTCTAAGTGGTCAAACCAACTCCCCGTCGATATTGAAGTACCAAGCAAAAAATCGATGAGGGATCCACCCGAGTATCCATACTTCGATCCATACCATAGAACTACACTTAGTATGAACAACCACTGATTCAGGTACTAACACATCTTGATATTCACAGTCAAAATATACAAAAACTTCAAACCGTAGTGGTGGAGAGTGATCCATCCTACAAATCTAAAAAATAAGGGGTGAGTCAAAGTCCAGTAACTGAAATATCTAAGTCTAAGGTAGGAGATTATCTTACTAGTTAACCTCGTATCCACAAAACAATGTTAAATTAAGACGAGTACAAAATAGCTATAAGAAGCAATTGAATGGATAATTCACTATACTTCCTATCATAATATGCCAATGAAAATCAATGAACAATGTTGCCTAAGATTATCTACCTCATCGCAAGAGGATGTCATAATATATTGTAATGCACGGTCACCACCAATTAAATTATTAATAGACACACGTGAGTATATGTTTATATATGCACATATACATGTATCATATTTGTTACTCGTCTCATCTAGAACATTCCCGGGGCATCTATATTCAGAGGCATCACGAACACTCCTGGAGCATTCCGACTCACTGGTTACCTCACCTCTCGAGGCATCCTAGACACTCCCAAAGCATCCCGACTCACGGGGCATCTGTGACATTCCGAATTTCGGCCCATAGTTGGGATTTATAAAACGTGTATTTCATCAGTGCGCTTATAATAAAATATCGCCCGGAACTGATCACTCTTGGGTTATTATTTTTAAATTGGAGATTTCGCTAGGATCGCACTTGATCGAATTTGGCCGTTATTTAGAGCCCAAACTTTGGTGTCGAATTTCTTGAAGTTCCGGGACGAATTTAATTGGACGGTGTCGATATTATTGTGGCCAGCCTCGATATTGCCCGGGATATGTGAAAAGTGAAATTTTGACCGGGTGCGGATTTGGACTACTAGACCTCCCTCGTAGTGTGTTTTAGTTATTTTCTTTTGGTCTTTTTTCTAAATTATTAATTAGGATTTTCGTGGACCGTTAGATCGTTTTCGAATTC